CTATTTTGATTAAAATCATTCGGTATTTTTATCTATTTTCTGTAGGCCTGAAATATCTGAGAGAGTAGATTTATATAATTCAGCGTAGGTAATCCTCTTGCCACTATTTGTAATTCTACCATGGGGTGCCATAACACAAGACGAATTAACTAACCTCATGCTGTAACTGACAAATTTGCAGTAACAATGACCTAACCCACAAAATTGGTAAAATGAAAACACTGCAATCTTACTTTCACTCCTCACTTCTAGAAAGAGGCTGTTACAGATACATATGGTTTGTAACCATTAAAATGGTGTCTTTCAGAATCTTGCAAAAATGAGATAAACCATGTACAGCTCTATCTCTGTTTTCTCAGTTTTAGTAAAGTGTGGGTTAGCCCACTTTTTCTCCGAGGATATTAAATTTGTGAAGTCTGGTCAATAATGGGTCTGTTATTTGTAGTAGATGATACTAAAATTAAAAATATTCTGTACCTTTCATTTACAACGTCACTGCCTGCATTAGGTTTCACCAAGCGTCTGGAAACTTCCATGAGTATACGCACAACTTTATAACACTTCAGTTTATTTATAAATAAGCACTTCAGAAACGATAATAACCTACAAACAAAAACTATATGCACTAAAGTTACTTCGTGTTAAATACTTTATATAATTTTGAAACTTGTTTAATTATAAATCAAACGGATAAGTCACACACGTCTTCTTCTAAGTTTCACGAACTCGAAACGTAGTATGATAATAAAATGTAACTTTTTTGCGTGTAATAGTTGATGATCAGAGATAAGCAATTGGTTGGAAGAACTTTGACTGCGTAATTTGTCATACTATCACAGGGTAGGAACAATGACCTTCAGAACGGAACGTCCGAAAATGCACTGTAATTTTTATACAGTTCTGCCTATAAGAATTTACCAATGAAGATTTCATATGACATAATACAATTTGAATGATTTTTGTTATAAATATTATATTATAATATACGAACAACGGGAAAGTTGCTTTTCGTTTAGAACTATAGGTTCAATTAAATACGCGAGATACAGAAAGAAAAAGTCACTAGTAGAACCCGCGGAAACTGCCCTTTTATTTAAAAATAATAACTGAGAACCGGACTGATGCGTATTTATTTCCATTTTTGCCTCTAGAAACACTAGCACACTTCCACTATGGCAATAATAATCGCAAGAAACTACACGCATTGAAAAAGAACTGTAGGTTATGGCAATTATTTGCCAGACGTTGGAAGCATTGGTTTGTCGGTCAGTCATGCAAACTCCTCCAAAATTCCACAACAGGGTTATTATGGCCACGATTATAATAATGAATAATACACACATACAAAGTTTCTTATTATATTTATAACGCATATTCATTAATAAAGGATCCATAAAATGAAATACCAGCCACGGTGATCTAGCGGTTAGAAAGCTGGCCTTGTAATCCTGGGGTCTCGGGTTCGATTCCCGGCGGTGCCCGAATTTATAACTTGTGTTGGGCATGGCCGTGGTCTAGGCAACACGGAGTTTTCCTCCGGGGGCTTCCCCGGTTTCTCCGTGGCACTCCATTCACACACAGAAGAAGGCAATGGCAAACCACTTCTGGATCATCTGCCAAGAACGTATATGAACAGGTCCCAGTCCGAGAAAAGGATGGAAGGATCCTGTTCATATGGACCTGTCGTCAGATAGAACACTTTAAAAAAAATTAAATCTGAGAAACCTTAACCATCGTCTTGTTTGCAGATTACCAACTGTTGCTATCAGAAAAGGTTGTCGACAAACGGCCACTAAATTGAGCTATGAAGGAAAATACTGTTAAAATTTGTAGTGGAGAACCAAAAATAAATACTGTGCCTGGACGCAATTAATAGTATGCAAATGTTAATACAAGGTGACGTTACTAAACAGGGGTTTTAATTTTCGTGCACTGACTGCAAAATGTCAAATGATGACAAGAATACGTAATTCAGTAACTCCTTCTAATTTGGTAATAGTAACTCTTCGACTTCTCTTACCTTCGCAGGAAAAAAAGATTGACAAATCTGGAAGTGTTTGTTCCTTCTTGCCGAAGTACTGGACCCATTCTAAAGATAGAAATCCCATGTTAAATATTATGCTTAAGATGTTTACGTTTATGGTCAGGATCCGGGAAGTAAAAAAATAATGAGATGAAACTAGATGGTGGACGTGACTGAAAACCAACCTTCACTGCAGGAAGAAATCATACGATATCACTGGCGAATGTTTCCGTTTTCGCCTGAGTGTTTCTTAAAATAAACTCTTCTAATATAAGTAAATTTATTTGTTAAAAAATTACGCTGTTGGAACTGATATTGTAGAAAACTTATTTCTTATATCATCCACTGAAACACAATAATTATAGGCGTTTCGCATGGACTGCGAATTCTAGAACAGACAATGGATAAACACTAATTTCTTAAATCAATTTCTACTCTTCCCAAATACTTAGTCTATGACTTAGTTTAATCAAACCAAAGTTTCATACCAATTTTCCTTGTTGTTCCTCTTATAACAAATCCCATGTGTATAAGTGACTGACTGTTAAATAATTAACTTCCATAAAACTTTCATTACTACTGTGATTCGAATTAAACAAGTACATAATCAAAAGTGTGAGATTTCAGGTTCTCATGGCGACAGGTATGAATATGCCTATCCTCTGGGTTGTTGCTCCGTGTAATTGGTAGAAGTTTACCGACGTTTCAGGGGTATCTCCATCAACAGAGTGATGAGCTGTGATGACGTAGGTTGGAAAGGTCCTCTGAAACGTCGGTAAACTTCTAATAAACTACACGGCGCAACAGCCCAGGAGACAACCAACTTCTTTATCGATAACCGTTCAATGTGGAATCGACATGTGCATCCCACATCGGCCCATTTTATCTCATAAGGTGACAAAGGTCAGTGTATGACCAATAGCAGGAGACGTCTCTCGCTGTATCTCGCTCACAATGCAGAATGACAGTTGGCTATCCTTGTCGAATTGGTCGTCTTGACAACAGACTCTCACACCTGAGTGTCCGGCCAATCAATATTGCGAACGGACGGTGACGCATGACCCATCCCGCAAGGTCATGTGATACGCCGCGTGGCAGGAGCACTACCCACGTGACATCACTTCAACCCTGACCTCTCTTACAATGTTTTCTTTTGATACACACGCAATTTGCATTTGATTGCGGATACGGCCATTGCACGGAAGGACAAGCGAAACGTCGAAGTTGATTCCTGTAGACGCGTCATTTATTTTTGTTGTTTAATGATGCGGGCAGTAGCTGACCACATAGCGTGGAATGATAGGATGATTAATAAATGATGAACTGGAAGAGATATGGAAGGAAACGGTAGTGAAAGAGGGGGTTATGCCCAAGTCAGTGGGGACAAATGAACTCGTCCGATTGACGTGTCCACGAGAGTTCTTTGCGCCTTGCACATGCTAATTATTTAACAAAAAGTACAGATTATCTTATATTAATTGATATGTCTTTCTTTTTGCCCTGTGGCTCTACAAATCTTGGATAACTTGGGTCACCGTTTAACAGAAGTTACCAAACCATTTTTCCAACACTCTGTAGGACTCGCGAGAAGTGCGCCAGGACAAATGTGTCTAATTAGAAGAGTTCGAGCGTTTTTCAATGTTTGGAGAAAAGTAGAGGTAAAATGAAAAAAACATATGGACACGCACAAACGGTAAGCTGTGGACAAAGTTGAGGAGGTCTTCGCCTTCAGAATTCTAAAAATGGCTTTGCGGAAATGTTACAGGCCCATTCCTTGTGCGTGACATCGCGTGGAGACGTCCCAGACATGTAGACCACTAACTTGATGTAATCAATAAAACCTTAGAAGAAGAAAAAAGCACAGCTAGTACCATACATAAATCATTCAATTGATGCCGACGTCACAGACGACTGATTGTTATTCTAATAATGTCGCAACACTGCACCACCGGATTCTAAGATAGTAAAAAGACTGTTTGCACAGTAGTTACAGATTACTGTAATTTCTGGAATATTTATTTTCATGACCACTTTCGCAATTAGTAAATAGCCGCCAGTTATCTAATACTGGCATGGGAATTTTCCTGTAGAGAGTTCGAATGGTCTTTACACATAAAAAATTGTCTTCATATGTCCTAAAAATACAATATAATTCACAGCAAATCAGCAAGCTTCAGGCTTCCTGCCAAATATTATGCGTAAAAATATACGCCAGTTAAAATTTTGTTTAATTTTTCTGTGGTATAACACAGAGACAGAAAGTCTTGAGACTTAAGATGTTACAAAAGACAGAAATGGGTCAAGATCATATTCGATTTTTTACCAGAACTGATAATAACTAGATAGCCTAGGGAACCCCATGGTTCAAAATCGAATTAGCCAAAGCCCTCCACCGGACCCTGCCCTGGGCCAACAAAATCCAGACGCCTTCAACTCCTATTTCCCATAGATCCCATTTGATGTTATCCTGCCATCTACGTCTAGGTCTCCCCAGCGGTCTCTTCTCCTCAGGCTTCCCGACCAATACCCGGTGCACACCTCTTGTCCCATCCATGCGCGCTACATGCCCCGCCCAACTCATTCTTTTCGACTTAATCACCCTGACAATATTAGGGGAGGAGTACAGATTTTTAAGCTCATCTTTATGCAGTTTTCTCCATGCCCCATCGTCTTCTCTCCTAGGCCCAAATATCCTTTTCAGCACCCTGTTCTCAAACAGCTGTAATCTGTGTTCCTCCCTCAGAGAGACCATGTTTTGCACCCATACAAAACAACAGGCAATATTTTTTGTACATTTTAATCTTCAGGTTCTTAGAAATCAGACAAAATACTTTGAACTGAAAAGTAACAAGCACTTCCAGAATTTAGTCTCCTCCTAAATTCCTCATGAATATAATTTTGATTTGTTCAAAATTAAAATACTGTAGAAGCACAGGTTATACATGAAGCAAATTGTAAATTTATCTTTGCTTTCCAGCATTGTGGTGGATGATGTGGATGCAGGTGAGAAACCTGAACCCGAACTGGAGGTGAACACGGCTAAAACTGTCCAAACGTCTACAACAGACAGCGACACTAGAGATATGAAAGAGGAGTCTGATGCTCGCATAAAACAAATTCAGGTAAATCAATAAGTTACAAGCACTTATTCAAGCATTCTTGAGCATTCTAAAAGAAATATTCACAATTATTCTGCCATTTTAAAAAAATCTTCTCCGTGGTCAAGGCAAAACCACACACTTCAATGACTTCTGATATTTATGAAGAGACTACATATCCTGTTCTTACAGCAACCACGCTGACGCCTGCAAATGAACGGGCAGTGAAAGTCATCTCTAATCTCATAGTCATGAAAAAGACAGAAATACATAACTTACCAGTACATTTTTTTGCAGACATGAACCCTTCTACACATACTGAAGCTCTCAAAATTGCAGTTTCATCTACAATCCATGTTTTCCTTGGAATTTATTTTATTCTGATACAGATAAACAAATCTGAAACAATTTAATATTATCTGTCGCTGAACACTTTACAAACCCAACACTAGCCATCCTGTTATCGATTGTTTAAAGGGGAAAAAAAGACTGCGTGAGAAGCTATTTGAATAGGTGGACACTGTTATACATAATTACCGGGGTAAGAACAACGGACGTATTAACATGATAAGGTTCGTCTACCCATTCTTATAAAATATGATGTATGTTGTAAAAAACCATAAAACTAGCAGGTTATGCTGTAACCTCAAGCATTGGAATCATCTAAATGAGACTTCAGGCTTTGTCTTCTGGGTTCTTGCAACGTGTAGTCTCGTAGAACTTAGCTGGTGTTTCAGAGTTTCCTGATGTCTCCATCATCATGGTGATCACCCTTCTACCAAGCTGCACAGTGCAACAACCCGGAAGACAGTCATCTTAGTACCATCTAGTTTATTTTTCTAAATTATAAGATAAACCTCACATTTTGATAGTAAATAATAATAGTTTCACCTATCTTAATATTTCTAATCTGCCACTTACATTTACAAGAGGAAACTGCCACAGTAAAGTAACGTCCTTTGTACGTGTGCAGGCAGCCGACGACACAAACCAAAAACACTGAATTTAGAACTTGTTGCAGATAGAGGCGGAGAGCCGTAAGAACGAGTTCGCCAAACTTCTAGAAGAGCACGCACAAGTAATCAAAGAACTGAAGAAAATGGAAGAGGGCCCACCTTCTGTAGCTGTTACAGGACCGACAAAAGCATGATCATTACAGAGGGACAATGAAAGAAAAATGAGGAAAAAGGGACAAAAGAAGGGAGACAGGAAAGGAAAAAGACAAAGAGATAAATTAACCCAATGTAACTGTCCATTACAACCAAAGAACTTTACGCTGTGTATCTTCGAAGGAGCAGATCACCGCCTTGTGCTATCCAGATTAAAGTGTCAGTTTTCAAGAAGGACAGACTTGTGCGTAGTTCTGTGGGAGTAGTAGCTCATTTAATTCAAAAGTCTATTCAATCAACATTCAGCAAGTGATTTCAGATTATGAACCTTGTATTCATATGTCATCAACTATTCATGCTGAAGTGGGACGTTGTCGGATTTTACGGAATATTATTAGCAGAAATTACTTCATATATTCAGATCCATGTATACAATGTTTCAATTACTAAATGATAAGTAATATTCAGTCTGGGGTGGGGGGGGGGAGCAAGATATTGGACCATTTAATAATAATTTGTTTGAAATCTTGTATAACTACGTGCATAAAAACGAATGCGGTCCTTACATTTTTGGGAATAGTTTGCATACATTTATACAAGGTTTTAAAAATTAAAAAGATACTGACTTCTTGAATTGTCCTCCATTTGTAATATAAAGTTAAAGATTATTTTCCTAAGATATTCTCATAATCCATGTACATTATTGTATCTTCTGTATAAGGTTTCAAGCCTTCCTGGCAGCTAAATGCAATTACGTCTTAGAAGGATCACGCATATCAATAAGGAATAAGTTTCCAACATTTTGCAGACTGTCTCTGCCTCCTTCATCATTCAGGGATGACGCAACTAAAACTGATCATTACTTATAAGAACAGTGTTCTTGTCCAAAAGTGAACCAACATTGGAAAGCTACGCAAACTCGGGCATTCACTCTTCCTACCAGCGGCTCCACAATGAATGCTGCTTAACAACCTGGTCATCATGATGGTAAGAGTAAAGATGGCTGCCTTCTGGGTTGTCGCGCTGTGTGTAGTCTGACAGAAGTTTAAAGATGTTTCACACATTACTGCCGCCTCCCTCATCAGGCGATGGAGGCAGCAAGTACCTCTGAAATGTTCATAAACATCTGCCTGACTACAAACAGCACGACAACCCAGAAGACAGCCATCTTTATCCTTACCACTAGAATTCATAGATGGCTTAACACTACTTAACATCACGGACTGTAATCCCAGGCAGGACGAGTGCAGGCCCGATCTGAATCACCGTTTCTCTGCCGTCCCACTCTTGGTCTCAGAGCCAACTACATGTACATATGCAGTGAACATCAGTTCTTGATGATGATGATGGATGAGGGAATCTCCAAAGCACTGAAAACTCATTCCATACTGACATGGCAGATCACATCAGAAGACTTCATTGCATCAAGTATCCAAACTGAGGATTCTTAAGTTGGCTCTTCTGATCGCACTGTACAGTAAATTTCAATAATACGTGTTTAAATATGTAGGTAATTTCCTTTCAAGAACTGTGTGATTCTAGGTGTACATATGTTAAGAATTATAGTAATTTGTTCCATTTTTATTTAGAAAATAGATCTATCCAATAAAAACTCTCTGTTGCATAAAAGACAGTTATCAAAACTTCAGTCCACTTCCAGAAGTCATACGAAGTTATATTACTTTTTCATTATAAAATATTCGCAGTTACGCTAAGCAACAATGTTTGATAATCCTGAAACATTCTTTCTGTCCTGTACGCAGAACTTTTTGTAATTACTAAGTTGCTTAATAAAGCTTTCGTAGATAATCTGAATTTATAAAGAATAAAGTGACATCAATAATTGTACAGTAAAATTTTTATCATAGCCTTTTTAGAAATTTAAAAGTATCGGTGTGAACCAACAAATTGCAAACGCATCTTCGGATGTGATGTGATCAAGAAAACTAAACATCCAAATTGTGACACTGTTCATGGGACAATGACACTCTTACCCGATGGTTTATTTTTATATACATGATTGTAATAAATATAAAAATTTGTAGTATGCAATTTTAATGTATTTAGGAAGGAAAAAATAGACTATATGAACTGCTTAGAAGGTTAAGAAATTAAAAAATAACTGAAGAATGTGTTAGAATTATTAGAATTATTGTTACTATAAGATTATGGCAATATTTTGAAAAAATTAAAAATCCTACATAACTGATCCATTTTCATTAAAAAGCAGGATTGTTCCATTATTATCTGTCCATAGCATACAGCCTTTAGAATGTGTCAACATTTATATAAAACAATCTTTATGTAACAAAATGAAAGTGTTATATTCAACTAAGTACATGCACCAGAGTTTTAAAAAATTAACTTAATTTTTACATAAAAATAAAAATCCTTGCTCAAGCTAGAGGACATATTATTTTATAAATTCCAACAATTCATTCAGAAAGATAACAAAATTGTGAAATAAAATACTTAAAAAAGATTATCAATAAAGAATTTCAAGTGTAATATAAAATCACAAGCATTAAGATATGTTCATATTAAATTAATTTCTCTTTGATACTTTAGATTTTAAATTAAATACATTCCATGACATAAAATAAATAGAGGAATCATCCATAACTCTTTAACAATTCTCCTAATGATGGCACCAGGAAGACAATGATCATCGTTGAGATCTACGGAAACAAATACAGCACAAGTATTAAGAACAACAAGTACACATTATGAAAGTCTTGTTTTATTCAACACCCCGTTAATTAGAGGTACCGTAATGACTGAGCTAACGGTGAGTTGCTAGGGGTGACATATATTAGGAAAATAAAGATTCTTGTTATTCTGTTTAAAACAAGTACACTAATCTCATTATCAGAATAAATGTCCAGTAAATTACATATATTACAGGTGTATGTGTGGTGAGTGTGTGCAGGGGAGCATCCTATTCAAAATGCCACAACATTCTCATTTAAGAAAGATGTTCTTGTCTTGAGATCAAATTTGGCTTGAATGTCTATGATTCTGATCTTACATTTCACCAAAAGTCCTGTCATTTTTGTAATTTCAAATTAAAAAAAATTGTAATTTCTCTCAGAATTTCAAACAACAAAATTCTTAAAGCTGAGTGAGACTTTAAAAGCTACAATATCCTTACCTTTCAAGTATCAACAGCTTGAAGCTTGTGCCCCTACTTCATTAAGTGAGAGTGGATGATCTTGAGTGACACTTGAGCCCACAGACAGACAGAAATATTCTTTAATACATGAACATATTCAAACATCACATTCAGATTCCTTTGCTGAATCATACCAAGCCTTCACAGAAATACATGATTTCTGTCATCATGTTTTTTTTCTTCCCCTTTTTCTACTTTATATACCAGCGTGCCTCTTCTCAAACTCTGCACATTGTGATTCCAAAATTAGTTTCCTTAACTGCTGTAATACCAAATGCCACAGTCACGTGGTTAACACCCCCCCCCCTTTATATCTGGGAAGTCCAGGGTTCAAATCTTGGCCCAAATTCTGGGATAGTATCTCAATAGGCTACAACCACTTCCTTTCATAATTCATTATTTGTAATCAGTCAAAGCTGTAGTCCGAGCTACATTGTTAAGCCACAAGTAAATAAAACTGGTACTCTCAGAGTGGCACAATTTAACACTGAACAATAAAATATCCAAGGAAATCTTTATTCAAAATACAGAAGAGCTTACCTGTAAAATTGATATCACATAAGGTAAGCATTTGATTAGTAGCAACAATTTATTCCTGTTCTCCATGAATCTGACTACTAAGCAGCATGATTTTATGGCTAAGTTTAGCATTACGATCTTTCAAGTAACGAATCAAATCTGCCTGCTTCTCTAAGAGATCGTAGATGTGATCACCACGCTCTCTGGAAATAAGAAATATAATGTTATAAAGTAGGATCAGAAATAATGACATACACGTATGACACTGTGAAAAATTATTCTGGACTCAGGAAATGCCAACATCTCAAGGAGAAACACAAACAAAAATACAGAATTTTTTTTTCTCAGGATAACACTGTTTTTTGTTTAAAAAACATTAATTATAAGATATAAAACACTCGTGATAACTTAAAGGATATCCTTAGGGTCAGAATCACCATTCAGGTTTTTAATATCAAGGTTTCCATATGCACAGTGATCTGGAACATTTGAGAAATTTGGAAAGTACCGAAGTAGACAAACAGATAACGCTTTTTACCTGTAACCAACTTCACCACCACTGTAACTGTCCTGTATGAAACTTCTCATCCACTCTTCCCGCTCAACATCAGGAGGTGGCTTACTTCTGTTAAACTGAATCACTTTGCCTAAATAACAACATAAGCAACAAAATAAATAAAAAAAATTAACATAACATTATAAATATACCCCTCACCACAGCGCAGAATTTCATTCAGTGCAACTTACGGATATAAAGCAATATGACGCAAGCCAGAACGGCAGTTTCTACTGCAATAAAGACACACAAATGATTTACAGGCTTTGAGAATCCATCGACACTGCACTGTTGCTTAAAATCCTCGTAGAGATGCTGCAGGAGTGTACTTGAAACCAACAAAAGAGCATTCCCTGAGAGAGAGAGAAAAAAGGAGAAACATTACCCTTGAATACACTTCACGGAAATTTAGCCAGTTCATAGAACTCCACATCAGGTACAGTTATCTGCAACTGTTTTATAAAAGTGGCTTTGACAGGCAAGAAGGTTGCCAGAATAGGACTGGGAAGAGATATAAGTACAAGCGTATTGCCCAAGTGAAGTCCATGATCTCACCAATTACTTCAGTGCGTACAGGCTTGAACTATTCACAGATGATCATGTTGAGAAAAAAGAGGTCACCCCTGTCTGAGTGTGAAAAGAGGAAACATGAAGAGGATGAGGATGAGAAGAATGAGAATGAGTCAGTTCCTTAAAATTCCAGGCAGAGATAAGACCTTATATCATTATCAACACTAGATTCTGCACAATTCAATTTTATTGATCTCAATATTGTATTTTCTGATCCCAAGCACTTAAAACTGATGTGGTTTTCCTGTATATATGTTAAGGAATTTACTTTGTAAAATAGTCTTAAAATAAAAAATAACAAATGAAACATATTGATAACTATTTACACTTACAAAAAGAAACAATATAAAATGGAATTCGACTATGACTATATGTCTGCTGATAGAATTCCAGATAACCATTTACTCTTAATGCATGATGTTTTTGTTTGATATGATTATCCACAATCTGAAACAATGAAAAACAATAGTCATGTAGAATCAAAAGTGGAACCTGAGAAATGATTTCTTAAGTAATCCCCAAACTTAGAACTTTTTTAAGTTCAAAATATTTTACATTACTATAACCACACAATCTAAACTGCTATCATAAAAGCGAAAACTGTGGTTACCTTAAGTCACACAGCATTTTAATATACAGTTTCACACTTAAATAACCAATTAAACACAATACTATACTTTTACCCGGTATCAACTCACTCTTACACAATTCAACACATTCGCTTGATCTAACTGAAAGAGACTTAACTATTTTGTATTGTCATTCTTCAAAAACCACCCCATTTCTCCTTACCACTTCCCAATTCCGACCCCACTCCAGCCACATCACTCTCACTGCATTCTTTATACTTCTCATGCGGTCTTCTTCCTAAATGTTAATATCACCTAACTAACTAGATGGCTTATGGAACACAAAGGTTCATCACCGAATTAACCAGAGCCACCTACAGCTCCCTGTCCTGGGCCAGAAAAATCCAATTGCCTAATATCATCTATCACAAGCATTTTATCATAAACTCTAACCAACAGGAGCAGTAAGTCATTAAATGTTGTGACAATGTATCTTTTAGAGAATTAGCCAGTTACTTAATGTTCAGACCTTCTACAGAAAACTCTGGTATCAGGGCCACCGATCCAATAACAATAAGAAAACTCCACTGGACCCTATACTGAGTTAAATTCTTATTATGACCACTCACATTCCCACAATCTTTGTTCCATAACATAACTCTCCATATAATAAATGTGTGATAACCCAATGCTCAACTTCAAAATGTAGAATAGGTCGTAACTACTGTATTAACAAATCTGCAACTATTATCATATCTGGAGACCTTACAATGTACCATGTTGTGATGACACATAATCATAAAACAACAAAATAATTATTAAACTAAAAAAAGGTCATATTTCATATATCTGCAGGTCCATTAATTAACTTTTACCAGATGTGTGACTCTGCTGACCGTGTGTTGCAGCTAAACCATTAAACCTCATAACTAAAGTCTGGCTGCATAACATATAACTAAATAAATACATAAAATACATGATAAACTCACCAATGAGATACACCAAAATGCAGCATGTATGTAAAGAGTGATAAAATATGGTGCACATCGATCTAGTTTTTCTGGCCATAAAACAGCAAGGATGATTGTTGTACCTAGCACAGCGACCTTAAAATGTCACGAAAGGTTATACGATACCAAACATGTCTTACTATCAATGCAACACACTATAACTGTACTTTAACAATGTAATTTTACATCTGAAAATTGACACTAAATACATATTACCAAAAATACAACTGTCATGTTGAGGGTCATACAATGATTAGGCCGATCCAGCAACATTAGAAGATGGATGTTAAGAAAAGTGATGAGAAATAAGAACCTATTTTAACCTTTAACTGAAATTCTGTATCTGAAAGGTACTGATGATAACTTACAGATAAAAAAAGTTCCATTGTAACTATCACCACTGTTTTAAGTGGTGTGAATTTCTTTTCCACATCAGTACCAACAACTGGTAGAAGCATCTGTGAATCATCTCCACCAGCACTAAGGCTCAAAGAGGCATCATTAAAAAACAACCCTCCCTACAAAAAAAATAACAAAATATGAATGATAATCCTTGGTGTATATCAGACACAAGAAATAATAATAATAATAATAATACTTTATTTCCTGTAGATCAAAAATACATTGACATAGGATATGTCAATCTATATTATACATTATCAAAATACATTAATGATTATGATATAATCCCATTTGAGATATAGCATTATACATATTAGATTATCCGTAGCCAATATTCAAAAATTCTTCATTAATATAGTCATCTAGAGAATAGTAACACCCCTTAATAAGAAAGTCTTTCAATTCCTTCTTAAACTGATTGTTATTTCTTATTTGTTTTATTATGGTAGGCAGTTTGTTATAGAAGAAACAACCTGCTACAGACGGTTTGCTATTATAAAGTTGTAACTTATGTACATATTTATTATAATCATTATTATTTCTTGTGTTATATGTATGTACTTGTTTGTTTACAGTGCAAACACTTTTCTTTTGCATACAAAATGGTTTCTTGAATGTATAACAAGTATACTGTTAATATTTTTAAATGCCTAAAACTATCTCTGCACGATTCAGTTGGTTTTAAACCTGCTGTGTACCTTACTGCCCTTTTTTGAAGAGTAAAAATTCGTCAAGTGAGTACTTCAGCACTCTGTCCCCATACGATGACTCCGTAAGACAAAAAGGGATAAATCAAACCATAATACAACATTATTCTTTCATTTAGATTAAGTATTTTAGAGAGACTATTAATTATAAATAGTTACGGCCAATTCTACTACACATTCTTTCAATATGTACTTCCCAACTCGGAGTGCAATCAATCACAACTCCCAGGAAGTTAGTACTTTTTACTTTAACTATTTCCCTGTTCTTTATTAAAATTTTTTGATTACTTTCCTCCCTACATTGTTTTGTCCGGAAAAAAATAATGTGTTTTAGTTGGATTTATAAATAAATTATTTATCTCAGAATACTGCTTTACCAACTCTATATTGTCTAAGGTTACCTTTTGGAGTTCATTCAAATCCTGACCCATATTCAATATTGATGTGTCATCAGCATACATTAATGTTCTGCCTTGTGTTAGATGTGGAATATCATTTACATATAAAATAAAAAGTAATGGACCTAGGACAGACCCTTGAGGAACTCCAATAACTGGAAGGCTACTTGACAAGTATTCTTTCATTTGATTGTTTGCTACATGTCAGACTTTTACTTGTTGTGTTCTGTTTGTGAGATAGGATTTGATTAGCTTATGTGGTATGCCACGAACTCCATATTGGTATTGGGACTAAAACAAACACCTCCACCAGCAAACCCATTCTCACAAAGATTAATTACTGTAAATTATATGTATAAGGAATATCAGAGTCACAATGCTTTCCTAAGTTTAATTAAAATCTATAGAAAAGTAGCAGTCTCTTAATCTATACACATTAGCACCTACACACAATCTGATAAAAGCCATATCTGAATAATCTTTGATTGAGCATAAAAAAGACAATAATTAAGCACATGATGCAATTATCTCATTTATTTTATATTGTTTTAGGCCCACTACATAAAATTATAATAAAATGAATAACCAAAACCAAACTTAAAATTTATATATAATTTCATTTTTAAAACGCAGGCACTAAATCCTCAGAGAAGGGATAAGTATCTAAAGACAACAGTCACCATCAGGCTCATTGAATCTTAATTCCTTCCAATCGTATTCAAGTTCCTTGAATATAATATAAATGTTGAATGTAAACGATAGTTCGATTGGCGCTACATAACCTAGCTGCCATTTCAACCTGACAAAGTGAATCCACTGTCAAATATATACTTTGGCAAGATGACAAGTCAGAACACTTCAAAGCTTAGGTCCAATTCATATATTGAAAGAAAACTAATGAAAGCTTAAAAACTATTTACCCCAGTCGATGTACTGAAGTTCCTACTAAGACTAACCATAACGTTAATGTTATCACGTTACGTGTAGAGATTTGAATTACGACTCCATCCTATTTACGTCTGTATTTATTGCTGCTTAACGTTCAAACACAAGCACTTGCACTCTCCTCAGTATTAAGCTTCCAACAGACCAACAGCACACCTGAACAAACACACAGAATTCGTAGTGACTACGACCACGGATCACATACGACAGACATCCGACTTACATATTTAAGTAGTAGATTAACACCTCCAGTTGACGACGGACCACGATTAAAGTCCAGTATTGACAAAACTCTGTATCGAGATATCGAAATATTATTTTTTCGCTTCCTCTCTGACGCAGATAACCTTACTTCTTTCCTGAGCATTTAAAACCGTGTTTTGTAGGTTATGTTGCCGGAATGTACTACTACATCTGAAGTGTTCTGTAAATCTTCTAATGCACCTTGCTGAGATACCCGCTAATGTTGATAGTATTGACATGTTTGCAGCAAATGGGAATGATGAATTTGAAACTTCTGAATGATTGTATAAAGTCTTAAAACATGCCTGTTGCAGGATACAAATTACATTTAATATTCCGATTAATAATCTTATACAGTTTTGCAATTCCAGCATCGTCATACGTGATGGAATTAGGTAATTAATAGTATCCTTAAATGAGAAAGGTGACTAACAATAAGTAGATGAGAAATAGAAATGGGCGTTAAGTACCTGTTTTACAGAAACAGCATTGGAATTACACTGCATATAGTGGTCACAGTAGTGACCATTTTTATTGTAAGTGTGAAAACGTAGAGATATTGGAAATCTCTTTTTGTCAGATTCATGATCAAGTATGTGACATTTTTGTACACCAATGTGCTTATAAATAGAAAGTATGATGTAACTTTTAACTACTGTATCAGATTTCAGGCTGTCTTGGTGGTGAGCATGAAGATGACTGTCTTTTGTATTGTTGTAGTCTGGTAGAATAGAATACAATTTATTTACAATCCGTAGATGCTTCATAGCAAGATGTTGGTAGAAGTTTACTGGCATTTCAAGGGTGCTTGCTGTCTCCATTGTCAGGGTGACTACTACCAGATTGCATATTGCAGTATCTCAGATAACAGTTATCTTTATACTACCATATGATTTACAGGTCCTGCTGTTCATAATGTAGAAGAAAACATCATGTCATATACACAGTTCACACAATCTGAAATAATTATTTGCAGGTCCAGTAAACAAACTTGTTCGATGTCCTGGGTTGTACTGTGGACGGGAATTATTCTCAAATGGAAGTTGGAGTAATTGTGGTGCATGTCCACGTGGTTACAGGACAAATGCCTCTTCAGCATGTATAAAATGCAATGACAGTCCCAAATTTTATGATTGGTTATATCTTGGTTTTATGGCATTGCTTGCATTTGTTTTACATTGGTTCTTCATAGATACAACTTCTAAGAGAAGAAGGTACTTATAATATTTGCTATCCTAAGTAACAAGCTAGGAAGATAAAGGTAAAGCTTCATCTGTTCCTTGAGCTCCAAACTGTGAACACTGAAAGGAATGAGTTAAAGTTGAGTAGTCCTAACATACTCATAAGCTGCCATAATGAAATGAAAAAATTCAAGTCACACAGATGTGGATATGTAGATGGGATGGACATATAGCATAGATTTGGAGAAAGGCAGCTCCCAAACTGCCAAATTGACACACACTACTGACTGCTTCTTAAGTTATTTAATAATTGGTTATATAGCATGAAACAAAAAGGGAATATGATTATGAGTGATAATGAGGAAAGGATATAGATGGAGATGGCAGTGATCTATTTCTAGATGCTGTCCTGATATATGCTGAGATACTAAGGAAATCAACTGATACCTGTCAGGATAGCAAATAATCCAACTGAGATTTGAACCAGGCACCTCCCAAATACCAGTCTAGGACATTATAACTACACCAACATGCTCAGTACAATACTTTGAGAACTCAACTTGTACTTGTTTTGAATGTCATGGCAAGTAAGACTGTCCGCATTTTCTTCTGCTTTCAGTTTCTGTAAAGAAGTGTTGGTACTACATTTCTCAGCTCTGTTTGAAGTTATAACAGCGGCCGTTCTCACACTGCTTATGACAGATCCCATGGGAAGCTTAGCTGTGCAGTCATGTCAAACAGAGAAACTGTCCGACTGGTATACATTACTTCACAACCCAAAACCAAATTATGACAAGACACTGCACTGCACCCAAGAAGCTGTATATCCTTTGTATGTTAAATTCATTGATATGGACTTTATTCTTTCTAAAACAAAGGAGATGCCTTAAAGTGGAAACCTAGTGTGTAATCACATTCATATTTTAGCCCCAATGTGTCATAAGTTGATACTGGGCTTGATTTCTAAGTGGACATAGCAGAAGGAAAACCACACAATTTGTAATTGAACATTTTGCCTGTTGACATTTCATATAATACTGGAAATATTTTGTTTTGGAAAATAATGTCACTGAATTATGTATAAATTAAGAATGGTTGGACATTCAAGACAGGATTTCGTGTCTTTTGACTGTTACAGATATACAATGGTGTTTATTTTTTATGCATTATGCGTTGTGCTTATGCTGGTTGTGAGACCCTGGTTAGCACATTTCCTACCAAAACATGGCAGAATGTCAATTTATGCAGCGCTTTACTTCTTCCCGACCTTAGCAGTTATTCATGCAGTCTTCGGGGGACTTATATGTGAGTATAATTTATTAAATGTGATTCTGCACATTTATGAATGCAGAACATTCTTGAAAGTCCCTCAAACAAAAAACTGAAATGCATGAAGTTAAGACCTTATGGGAAAATTGGAGTCAGGGAAACCAAAGACACACAAAACATGATGCTTAATTTGTATAATTAATAAACATGAAAACATTAGTGTTGGTGTTTGTTAGGGTGTTGTCAGCATTCCTGGCGAAACACACAATCAGAGTACACTTTGTGCAACTCGGTATGCACGTAGCTACTGAGATAGGTTGGTAGATATATTTACTTCATGTGTCTGTAAGAGTGACCATGAAAGAGCAAGGGACCTACATTATGTTGCACAGATATTAACACAATAGTTTTTAAGCAAAATGACGATGCTCAAACCCATGAACAAGGTGGGTCTGTTGTGTAATAAAACCCAAAATGTTGGACTACAAACAAATATGATAAACATATAACTGAAATATACTTTCTGTTTCAGATTATTCCTTCCCATATATAGTTATAATTCTGTCCGTCATATCAAATGCAGCCCATTTTGCATATAAATTGGATCAGGTAAGCTTTTGCAATAGAAAGGAAAACAGGCAAGAAAAAATCTCTGGGGTTTATGACATTTTCTGCCACCTGTGGCACAGTTTCACACAATTACCATCTTGGAATAGTTACATGTAGCAATACAAAATGGTAGTTGATTAGTTTAATCATTGCTGGCAATTTGTGCAATTTTTTTATTGCTGATGTAATAACAATAAAGATTTTGAAATAACACTAGACCATAATTTTTTATGTAATTTGAAACAAACATAGCTTTAAGATAGGAAATGTTATCAAATATTTATATCTGTATTCTTTATTTTCAGTCCATGCGGTTCTTGATTGTAAGCACTGTGACAGACATAAGGAATGTTGTGATCATTCTGGGTCACTGGCTACTTCATGCATACGGGATTATTGCCATCACTGAACTAAAAGACCCTGTATTTCATTCTGCACTTATAGCGTTAGTGCCTCTACCAGCTGTATTTTATATTCTAACGGCTCGTTTCACAGACCCTAATAAACTTCATGCAGACTGATCTCTGAATATGACAACAGAATAAGGATAAGACAGTGTTTGTGTTTCAGTGCAAGACGTGATATTGTCCATCCTAAATGCCATGAATAAGCAATCCTGCCTGAATAAGACATAATTAGATAGTGTTCAACTTTGTGACAATAATGACTCGAATAGTCTGATCAAATGAGGTGCACACACCGATTCCTTGTTTATCAGGACTCCAATCAAGGCTTGAGATTGGCTGTGTGGATAGCGTTGCGTTCTGAAGCAGGCTGGTTGTCCCTACAATTCCCATTTCATTGCCATCTGTATCATCTTTAACCCGTCTTGTAGGGTAATTGCTGTATAAGAGAGAGAAAAATTAATAAGGCATTTTAGACTTTGCACTAGCTGTAAGGGGTAATCTGTTTCATGCACTTATCACCAAGAGCTCCTGCCAGGAATATCTGAACATTATTCTGGACACAGTGGTAAACAGGATACCAAAAGAGATTGTACGAATCAAGCTAATAATAAAACGGAGAGTGTAATATATAATAATTTGTATGGGGTGAAAGAAGGAACATCCTAGCAAATGCCTTCTTTGACGCTGCATATACATCGTACCAAGTGTACATGCGACATACTAATTCTTTTCCTAAATTAACATACTTACTACTTCCAAAGACATAGTGTTCCAGCTCCACCACATGTAGCAAATATGTCCCTATTTTGTGGTATGTGTCGGGCCAACCATATTGTAGATTTATGTGCCTGTAAAGTGACAACAGTTTTTTAAGTACAGAATTGTTAGGTTAGGTTCATTCATCTAAATGGAATTGTTTATATTTTACTTTTGTTCAAAATAGGGAATGGAGGATTTGATTGTAATCAGTTAAACAATATAGAATTAATTTTAATGAGAGACTTGGAATTCTTTGTTTTTGTGGTGTACAGCATTAGGAACACATTTCATATTTTTATAGCATCCCTGAACATCACGAGTCTGACATGTTAACAGCAGTGGTTCCCGCTATGATTAATCCTTGTTCATTCTTCTCTATCTTATTAATCTTCTCTCTGTTTCCTTCAGTGGTCATTTCTTTCATGTCGTCTAGCTTCTAATTCCTCAAATAAAACTTACTGTTGACTCTCTGTATCATGTTTAAATAAAATGAACAAAGTAAGAAGTAAAATATAGTGTCTGAAAATGCACATGCTGTTACTGACTTACCTTTTCTGTCAAATATGCAAATCCTTTCTGTGGATGTTGTGTCCGTACATCAAAGACATAAAATTTTGATTCCAATGTCGTGACAATCATTTTATTCATGACTATATCCTTTCTATCAAATTCTATTCCACACACCTAAACCAGAATTAGAAACATATGTGAAGGGATATTACACAACTATACAAGACAAGAGAAATCAATTTGGAACGGCGTAACATCAGTAAGGCAAGTAATATTTCCCAAAGTGAGGGCCACTATATTATGTAATGATAAAATGTGATGTGTACAGGCCAAGAGCCTCATTCATGGATTAAACAGTTCATGACTTTTTACTTTGTGTTGGCAGTTACTTGCAAACTAAACAAAATAAATATAATGAGTATGCAGACTTACTCCATTTTTCACATTTGTTTCCCACCTAAGGGACATTGTTTTCAAATCAAACATCTTTATATCACCATTATCATAGCCAGAACAGACAATTCTTTCTTCAGAATTGTATGAATTACCTAAAACAAAGAACGAGGACCAGACAGCAATTATTATTATATCCACATTTTTTAAAATTAACTCCAATATACAATTTATACAACTTGCATTTCATTAAAACATTACCTAATGCAACTGTCCAACAATCTCTCTTGGCTTCTCCTTCAGCCGGTTCCATGGTAGCTACAGCTTTACCTTTCTGACGAGGATCCCAAACTTTTACGCTACCTGCACGTGAAAAATAAATAATGCTGGTATATATGTTTCATCATCTATATTAATAACTGCATCTTTATAGCGTATAACTAACTACATGGTGCACAGTCTTTGAGAATGAAAAGCTGCTCAGCCAATCAACTGATTTCCCACCGTTCATGGAAGCCTAAGATATGTTACCACACTCGCAATGGCTTGCCACTGACTCCTACCCTGAGCTGCATGAATCCAGTTCACGTCCTTGAACCCTGTGTCTAACAGTAAATTTAATACATACTATCACGTGTGCAAGCATATGAAAACAAATTATACTACACATCAAATAAAAGTATCGATGATGAACCTCTTTCTGAGTGTGTTTTTATAACAAATTCAGATTATGAAAAAGATACTGCCCTTTTTAAACTATAATGTGCGAATACACAATTTCTTATAAAAATCAGAGGCACACCTGAAACCTTGTAGCAGCACAATGGCTGCAGAACACTGTGCTATAGAACCAAATATCCAACATAACATTCATATAATATAATAAACTACTGTCATAAGCATTTACAGAATTATAAAAATCAATCAGCTTTGACACATATTGCATTTTTTCCACTCAGCTGCAAAAGTGTTTTTCGTACAAAATAACCAATCAGTTGTGTATTATAGTACTTGGTGTAGGATATAAAACATTGCCCTGAGAAAGAGAATTATTTGAATTTACTTCCCATGATTACAAAAATGAAAAATAAAACATAGCATTTAGTTCTTTATTTTTCAGAGCAAACCAAAACACATATGCGATATCTTAAAATTGGTCATGCAAAGGATGCCCAAAGTAAGTGGTGTTCCAGTCAGATCTGACCGTGACACGTTATTTTCAGGCCTGGTGTACACAGGATGTCAGTACTGAGGGATTAAATGACAATATTACTGCTTCACTAGAAGGTATGAGAATCTCATCTCATATATTACTATATCTTACCATCTCTACTTCCAGTTACAATTTCTGGTGCTCCACAACCAATACTCTGACCCCCAACACCATCTATACTATTGATTATCTCTTTGTGGGCATTTGCCGTATATATAGGAGCTGTTGTATCTTCCAGGTTCCTATAAAAAATATATAGTGAGTCAGTTACTAACTGCAATTAACTTTAGAACATATTTATACAAAAATACACAACAGTTAAATCACAGTAATAATGCAAAATTCCACTTTGTGGTACAATCATCAAATTTCAGGTCACATAAGCCTGTGCTTCATGGAGATGTGAAATCAGAATTACATGCCTCATTCAGTGACATCAGAAACACCTTGAACAACATATACAAGCACTAGTCATTCATGCAAGTGCCATATTCTTACCATATATTTAACTTCCCTTCAAAATCACCTGTAGCCAAGTAACGATCTCGTAAACTGGATGCACCATAAGTCCCACATTTAAAAGCCTTGGGTTTCTCTACCTGTTTGTAAAGAATATTTATATCAGCCATCCCACTTGCTCCACCTCTCCTCCACTCCACACCACCCTTACATCTCCATCTGACTAGAGACAATTTCATTCAACTCCACACCACACATGCCACATGATACACCAAATGCACCATACCATGCACAACTCACCACACACAGCTTCACACCACAAGTCACACTGCACCAGAGCACACACCACACACTAAAATCACACCATGCTAACTCTCTCATGAGTACACACCACACACCACTCATTTACAAAGACATACAAAGCTTCCTTTAAAGTAAAAAATAAAATTATACAATCAAATCTGAAGGCCTACTAAATGTCATGCATGGATTCGTATGCCTGCATTTGGAGGAGGCATATGAACGAATAAATTTAATCCACTTATCAAGTTTTATATATTTGAATTGTGGGTACCTCTTTCACTAGCTTAACATCTCCCTCACTTAGTTCATATATGTTAATAATACCAGTTCCTCTGGGTTTCGAGCCCAGAACTACAAATTTTGCTGAACATGGTATCCAGCGACAATCGAATAATGATAACGTTGTAGATTTTTCCACATGACATATTATTTGAGGTTTCTCCATATTTGAACCACGATCACCATTTGTTGAAATTTCCTACTGAACATCATTTGTTTTGAATGCAGAGAAAAATAAAGTGTGTTGCACGGATGATAAGAAGAAAAACAGCTATCTGTGGAAAGGGACGTGCAATATGAACATGTTTGATGCGGAGTTCATTACTGAAAATAGTCAAATAAACAGTGGAACTTAGGTCCTCACGGCGGTGAGTACGAATATAGCTATCTTCTGGGATGTGGCCACTGTGATTTGGTAGAAGTTTACTAACGTTTCTGAGATCGCTACTACCTGCTACGTTGCCTCTAAATACGTGGCACAGTTAATAGTCATAATGGGCCACAGACAATAAAACCCATAGATTAAATGTCACACAAGGTTGCAAGTGGAGTGGTGGTATGCTATAATTTATAATTGGTTTGTGTCAACTTCCGGTCTGTCATTACATTGCATTTGTTATCAGAATACCCAGAAAAATCAAAACGTAATTTCCATAAGGTTCTTCTTCTTCTTCTTCTTGTAGCGTTATAATCCTATGTGGGTCTTAGAATTTCCATAAGGTCCATTTCAATATTATTGCCTACACCATATGTACAGCTGACCTCTAAATTAAGTACTAACAATATTTTGAGCAGAAACTCACAGCATGTCTACATATACATGGCATTAAATGAGCTTTTTTATGTTTTTTGAAAGATATACCATTTTAAGGGACAACATTTATGAAATTATGAAGTATTTTAAAATAAAATTTCAATGAATATCATACCTTAAACAGTAACAGTAATATCCTCTTAAATCCTTAACCCTGTGTAATCTGAGGTATAATAATACCACATAAGACAGGGCTACTGCCAGATAATTACAGAGAATTAAGCTTATGCAAAGAAAGGTTTGCATTTCAAAGGCAGAGTTGAAACTTCAAGGAAAGGTTTGAGGTAATCATGGTTTACATGGGGAAAGAAATCAGAAAATTTTCAAATTCATAAGTACTGCTAAATACAGTACAAACAGTCTGCTCATCTGTACAGATAAATCTTATGTTCACACTCTTCCTTCAAAAGAGAACTGCAGAACAAGTTAGTAGTCAGAAGGCCTTGAAATCCCTAACTGGAAAGGTGTGACATTTTAATTGTCCACAAAGGAGAAAAGGGATTCATACCCAATACAGTTTTATTGTATTAGTCACTGTAAACATGTGTGGATTAACACTATGAAATGAATTTCACAATTTACAAAAAACATACAGAAATAATCACCATCTACTTTACAAATCAGTTGTAATGCACATTTCTTACACCAATTTTCAAAAACATTGAAGCCTCAACTGTTACTTAACAAAATACTGAACAAATTAACTCAGGTGTAAAATTATGCCTGATTGTATTATCCTGAGTTTACTGGCAGCAGTTAGAATTCTATGGCTATGAATAATTATCCTAAGTTCTTTCATTCCTAGCAATAATCTGATCTTCTTATGGCCAGTGGAAAGTAATTCACAGATATTACGTCAGGCAGATTTCTTTTGTGCTCCTTTGTTATCATACAATACCTTTCTTTGGTAGTTTTTTTAAAAGTACTTATGATTACAGATGTGACATGCATATTACCATATTTATTTGTGTATAACATGCAGTTTCTGTGAAAATTATGGTTCATGTAATACATGAAACATGTATTTTAAGAGATGAAGGAAGTGACTGTTTCTTCCCACAGTAAAATGTTAGATACAATTTCAAATCCAATATTTATTTGTCAGTAATATTCAGTTTTATTTAAATTGTGTCATCAATCAACAATTCAGTAAAATGTTTTTCATTCACTGTCACTGCTGATTGTGCTATCATTACTCTCTTTTTCTTTTTTTCGCTACCTAATTTTATTTATTTTGAAGAATGTTATACATGAATACTTAATTTATTAATTTCTCCAATTCAAAAATAAGGGTTCATGTTATACAAGAGCAATACAGTGTTTTCTTATTGTGGAACACAAAGACAACTGTGACAGTTACAATGGTGAAGTGGAAGACATTTGTTTATGAATCTGGAAGTAATACTTTTATGCAAGTCGCAGGAAATACAGATTCAGATATACACAGTTTTGTTGGCGTACAAGGTCTAGAATAAGTGGAAGTGAAAAATTACATCTTCCACACAACACAAAAATCTAGAGTCCAAGATAACTCAGGATAATAAAATTGTGTGCTATAATAACGTGTTTTAATAAAATTACTCACGTTCATTACTTTATATATATTTAAAGATAATATACTTTTTTGACACCACATTCAGAAAGAAATTCCTGTGGCAAGTGGTTAAAAAATAGAGAAAGTGGAGATAATAAAGTAAAAAAACTTTCTAAACATATGAACTGAGATAATATGGACATGTTTACCTCCATGACCTGAATATAACAGAAATGATGTGATGCCATTTGCCAATGTAGAAAATGTTTCAACAAGAATACTTTAAAATTGGCTTATAAGTTATGAATAAAGTGGAAAGGTGACAGTTATTCAGACTGTATGGAAACTACTCGTTCAGAATGTACCAGTTTTTATCACGGCATTCACATCATTAATATAATTAATGTTCTAATGCAATTACCTTTCTTTGTCTAACAATTTATTAACTGCAATAAGGAATAAAACTCAAATAGAGAATACACAATTAAGTGTCACATACTCGCATCCTACCTCCACCTCCCATCTCCTGTTTCTGTCCTGTTAGTACACTATGCAAACTCAAATTTTGTCATATGCTGGGGGAAAGGGGATACAGTCTTTGTACATAATCTGTCAAGACTTATTCCTGGACCTCTGTAATGGAATAAAAAGACAAAAATTAAACCTCTCAGTTTTGAAGGAGTGGTATTCCTACAATCCAGAATTTTGCACGATTAGCAAAAGACAATGAAAATAGTAAGGATTTTTATTACTTTGAGAACAGAACCAATCTGCACCTGTCTTCCAAATGGCCATTTTTCAAGAGGTTTCCCCATCAATACCTGCATGGGTTCTTTATGCCCCTTCCACTGTTACTTCTTTCGCTGACCAGCATATTCTTGATGAAAATTAAAAACATCCTGGTTTTGTTTGTTTGTTTGTGCTGAATGTTAAATATATGCTTACCAATTCAGATTTACTATGTACCATGCATACATGTTTCAACTAACCTAAGTTTTTTGGTATTTATATCAAAATGCTGTATAAATTCTTGAGAAATATACATTACATAAACGAAGAAAAGCATCAGCACGTACCAAAGCTATGATCTACAGCACGGGTTGGCAAATTTTCAATACCGCAGGCTGCAATGCCTATACATTTCTTTGTCAACAGCTGCAGAAAAAATTAATAATGCAGACAGTAGGCAAAATTGTATTTCTTTACCTTATAGCATATAGCAGGTATTCAACTTAAAATGGATACAACCAAATTTACTCTAGACATCTGTTAGCTTTCGAAAAGTACTGATTTAAAGTCGCTGTTAACTTTATAAACCTTCAATTATTAACACTACAGTAATTTTCATAATTTGTTCAGTGTCACTTAGTTTGAACAATAGAATATTGTACCTTTGTGCAATAACACATTTGTAACATTACAGACCTATATTGACTAAAGTGTTTTATTAAGTCCTGTTTTCTTCATGACTGTTTGCCCTTACGGTTAGATAATGTGTGTGTTTGTGTGTATATCAGTGTATTCCTCAATGGAAGAACTTTTTTTTCCTTCTCACCTTGGCCAATCGCCAAATCATGTAATGGGCTAAATAAAAAAGGTTATGAGGGGCACAGGTTGCCAACCCTTGATCTGCAGTGAAGTTAGTTAATGTGCTGAAGAATATTTCAACTACAACCATGAAACTTTTCAATGAGATCATATGTCTATTAATATTATATTTATAACTAAACCCGTGCTCATCAACTTTCCAACTAAACACTATATAGTATTTATATATATGTATATACAGATTGTCCTGCAAGTCCAGGGCCATAAGAGAACTTGTTATTTGGCAAAGTATAGAAAAATATAAAGAGGTAAAAGTTGTTTCATACAAACCATGTGTTTCCCATCTTGCATGTTGACATTTCTTACCTAGGATGAGCTGTTATGGCTCTACAATCTTTACATCAACAGTAAAATGTCACAGCGATGTTGCCATGTTGACATAAAATTCACTACTTGTTGCAATTTTCCTGCTTCTTATTTCCTACAGTACCTGTCTCCTTCACTACTACTTCCTCCTACTCTGTAAACACACCTATTTATCACTGTCAATGTGGCAAGACTGCTCTGTTTACTACTGATGGTGTAAAGATTGTAGCAATGCTTGTCCTAGGTAAAAAATTCCAGCATCTCAGATTGGAAACACATGATTTACATCTGTTCCCTCTTTGCATTTTTCCTCATTCTGCCACATAACCTAACCTAACCTATGGACCCAAATTTATGGGACACCTTCTATATATACTGTAGAACATTATTTTAATTTTTAAATGCAAAATAAAAGATAATAAACACACCACACACAATATTCTGACAGTCTCCTAATATATATCCACTGCAGTAACATTCACTGAATATTCTATGCACAGATAGAGCCATGTGTGAAGAAATACAGAACAGAAAAATGCCATTCATAAACAAGACTATCATAAGAAGAGTGTCAAAGTATACATACAAATACATAATTCACATAATGTACTTATCACAGTGCATCATAATTAGATCTTGAGCAAGTCTATCCACCCTAAAACAGGAAATACAGTGGCATCCTATTTCAACTGTTCTAGCTTCTTAAAAAACCACTACAATGAAATTAGTTCAAATATAAGATATGAAACTGTAAATAAACAAAAACAGCAAACACAATCAAAAACTTCATTCATTTAATTAAGAGCCAATAGGTAGAGATTTATATTTATCTGAACATAAGATGAAGCTTTAAAGGAAGTGGGTGGAAATTTTGAAGTTTCTAATCAACATCATCATCATCACTTTTCTCACCATTTGTCATTCATATTCATGCAACTGGTTAAGCTATGGCATTATATGATGCACATTCAGTGTT